TTATAAAATACTATGCCTCAAAGTTTCTAAATAATAGAATAAAATATTTCCAAAACAATTAAAAAAATAAAAATGGACCTTTAATTAAAATAATTCTTCTTAAATTAATAAAATACTATAAATAATTCATTTTAAATTATTTAAATGCTTTATAAAATAATGATTTAAACTAAAAGTACATATAAAAATACGAGGTATTACAGCCAGCCCCACCACCGACATCATGACCTCGCCGCCGATCAGCCCAAACCCAGCCCCCGACATCCCCTGCCCCTACCTTGACTGTCGAAATCAACCCAACTACCACCCCTAAAACGACGACTCCCCCCTTCCCCTCCTCGAAAACCACCCCGTTCCATTCAAACCACCACGAAAGACAAAATGCTATTTATTACCACCGTGAAAAAAAAAATCAAGTTTCTTAACATGAACGGTTTTTTCACCATATACCCCTGAGTTTTTTTGTTTATTCACCATATACCCCTGAAATTTTTCAAACTCACCATATACCCTTAAGTTGTTGCAAAAATTCACCATATACCCCTAATGACAACAAGATGAGTGGAATTTTGTTAATTATGCATCGAAACCACAATAGATCTCTCTCCCCCATCCCCAAAACCACTCCTCTCCTTTCTCCAACCCCCAAAACCACTCCAAATCTCCATAACTATATCCGTATGATTGATTTTGAGGATGAGAAAAAGAAATTTGGGGTGGTTTTTGGGGGTGGGAAAAAGAAATGTGGGTGGTTTCGGGGGTAGGGGAATGTATTTAGGGTGGTTTCAGGTCATAATTAACCCTAATGATTGACGAAAATAACAATAATTAGTCATCAACGATATATGGTGTATTTTTGTGAAAACTCGGGGGTATATGATAAATTTAAAAAAGTTTAGGGGTATATGGTGAATAAACAAAAAACTCATGGGTATACGGTGAAAAAAACCGAAAAACAAACTATGTTTTTCAAATAACAAAGTCGTAAATAAATGCATTTTTTTACTGTTTATTGGTAAAACCGCTATTTGTTACCATAAATCGCTCATTGAAGTAGCGGTTTTACATCTACAAATTTAACTTGTTAAGAAACAAATTTTATTTTGAGAAAAAGGGGCGGCCTTTTAAAAAAAAAAGAACAATATATGCTTGTCATGAATCCTCCTCTTAAGTTTTCCTTGCTGCGATATTGCATGGAGCTTTTCACTCTTATGCTGCAGTCTTTCTCAACTCCATTGAAGCGGCATTCTGATTTCTCTCCATTAAAGCAGTTTCTTAGCCTTTTCTCCCCCATTGAAGCAGCTTCAGAGGTAACATTTTTTTTAATCCTCGAATTTTAAATTCACACTCTAGGGTTTATCGTTAATTTGGGGTTCTTTCTGTCATAGATTTCTATCGAATTAAGCTGAATTACAAATCAAAGACAATGATGATTATATGTATACTTTTATTTTTATTTTTATTTTTATTTTTTTTGAGATTTGAATTTATAGCTATTAATATCGAGATTGGAACTTTTTTTTTTGGATGGAGTCAATTAGGATGCTTGAATTTCTATTTTGGAAGTTTCCATCAAAGAATTTTCATAAAGGAAACAAAATTAATCAATCGGAGGAAATTACAGACCCATCAATTTGATTGTCAGTGTAATCAAATTAGGTTCTTCTCATAGCCGTTTCTGATATTTTGGGGGCACAAGGCAAAATGATAATATTTTTGTTGAATAAATAATTTGTTTTATAATTATAAATATTTATGTAATTTGTTAATTCATAAATAATTTTGTATAATTTGTTAATTACTTCATCCGTTATTTTAATTGCGCTATTTGGACTTTTCCACTATTCACACACCTCCTTTGAATTTCTTTTGTGATTTATTAGTTAGGAAAAAAAAATAATTAAATATCATATTTTTGTACTTTTTACTTAAATATAACGGCCAAAGAATTGTATTTGTAAATGTGAAATGACAAATAATGCAATTTAAAAAAACAGAGAAGGTATTAAATAGTTATATGTAATAAGTTATTGCCTTCGCCCCTTAATTTCGTGATTAATCAATTTATTACTTGATTATGACACGCACACAAACACATAATAATTTATACACTAATCAACAATTACCATTTAAGCTATTAATATTTTGTGAGCATGTAATATTGTATATTTTAAGTTCTTCCTTCTAAAAATGTGCATAATTACAATACTACGTTGGAATCCTTCTTTGACTCAACTCATTCTTTGAGAGAGTATTAAATTTACTACTTGTCTCAATCTATAAATATGAGTGAGTAATAAATAATAATCATATTTCATAAATAATAATTGTAGCTATTTCTAATTAAATTGAATTAAGTATTAATTTTTCTTGTTACTTATAATTAAATAATTACATGATTCGATCCACTTTTAATAAATGTATCATGTCATAATTAAATTATCAGTTCTTATCATGCTTATAAACAAGTCATTAAACAAAATTCATCAAACAATCCAAGAATCATAATATTCTTATCATGATTTCACTTCAATTTTCAAAGTCTATAAAATACCTAATATTATGATACTATACGAGTATTAAAAATTCAAAAATGTATACGTACCAAATAAAATTATGGCGAATAGTCACCATCACTAAAAATCATTTCACTTGAATTAACCTATATCGTAAAAATAAGTATTGTCAAAATAAAATTGTATAATTAAAATATTATAAGCCTAAAACAAGAAAAAATCTTCTTATGTGAGAAATAAAAACTTGTAGGAAAACTTCTGAAAATAACGACTACTATCATCCGTAACAAATACTTATCAAAATCCCTTCCAATTCAAAGTGGAATCTCAATTTTGATAACTTTGATATGAATTATTACTATAAAAAAAATAACATTTATAGATATCTTTATTTAACTATAATTATAATAAATCATTTTATAATAAATTAAGACATTTAATGCAAGAAAAATAATCCTCCATTTTTTAAAGCGCGCATCACTTTAATCGTCACAATTTTTTAGGAAATTGACTTGAATTCTATAAATAACAGGCACAAAGAAATTGATACATTGTATAAAATTTCATAGTATCAACTAATTTTAATAGATATACGATCAAAATTATTAAAGGTAAAATAAAGTTATGTATCAACAAAAATGTATATTAAAGTGTTTCAATTACTTTAGGATGATAGATTTTGTAGGGTACCCCTTCGTTTTTTTTATTGGTTATGTTCAGATTTTAAGCACTATCCATAATACTCCCCCATTTTCTTTTTATTGGTTATGTTAAGATTTTTTTAAACACTATATATTCATAATACTCCATCCGTCCTAGAATACATGAGACGCTGGACTTTTTTTATTATTCATGTATTGATTTTGATCATAATTATTTACTAACATAATAAAATATGTTGTTAAATAGGTATTAATATAAAGTTTCAAAATATAATTTTTAAAATGATTTTTATTAAAAATATTTAATTATATAAAATAAAGTCAAACTAGTGCATTGGCATGTGTGCAATGTTGACTGTATCATGTATTCTGGGACAGATGAAGTATTAGATAATCTTCAAATTTACTCACAAAAGTAAAAGAAATAATATAGTCATGTGGGGTCTTGTTTGATTCATCTCAACGAATGCTCTATTAATATTCAATCGTTATAATTTTAAAAAGTATGTAATGAAAGTTATTAATGGTCAAATAGGTGTATTGACAAACATGTAAAAGTCAAAACGTATCCAATAAAAAGGGACGGAGGGGGTATTATACTTTAGATATAGGGTAATTTTGTGAAAAATTAAGTAAATTTTACCAATAACTATCATTTAAATGACCACTTTTGAGAACAACTACCATTTTTTTTTTTGAAAAAACTACTACAAAAACCTTGAGTAACACAACTAAATTTAATTTCTTGGCAATAATATCCAATTGAAGGAGCTAAGAAATCGGCCGTTTCAGCGACGAGGAAAGGGAGAAGAGGGGGTTTTATCGGCATGAGAAGAGAGGGGTTGTTTTGGGGGTGGGGGAAGGAGGTGGTTTCGATGGTGTAGGTGGGTCGCCCGAGTGGTTTAAGGGGTTGGGAGGGGCCGGCTGGCCGTTATCAGTTGTTAGGGGAGGTTGTCGGTCGAATTTCGGTGGGGCTAGGGGTTGGGGCTAAGGTTTAACGGTGGGGCAAGGGGAGGAAGGATGGTGGCTGGCTGGGAAGGGTTTTTAATTAATTTTTTCTTTTTTTCCAAATAAAATTTGGATCAATTATGTTGCGACACATGGCTTTGACAAAATAAAAATCACTCTTTCTTTAGGTCACTGGTAAATCGACTTAGTAGAAAAAAAATCCACCTAAAAGTTTATAGTGCTCCCGAATAAACGTAAGTTGGGATTATTGAGAGTAAATCGCTGAAAATTCGGATTAATAAATTAAAGTGAATTTTTCTAATAAATAAAACTTAGATTTTGGAAGCACCCAATATAATAGATCGAAAAGCGAAAACAAGTCGAATTCAGGGTTAATTGGAGGATGAAATGGAGTCGTTTGACTCTTGGAATTGCCCTTTTTAATCTCTTTAGTTTTAATAAAAATGTGTTCTTTTAATGGAAGTGGTGTTACTTATGTTTGTTGGGAGATAGAGCAACATTTCAATTTCAGGTTTACATAAACCTTGTTGAAGGAGGATGGTAGTAGGTGTTGTTAAACCCATTTGTATGTCATGACGGTAAAAGTCATTACAACATCATGACCTTGTATGAGAATAAATACAAGATATGGTTTTGTCATATCACAAAGAAATGTGATTGACATGCATGAAGCAAAGATCTCAAGAGGATTTTATCTATTTGAATTATTAGGGCCCCTTAGGATAAGAAATACTAATTTTGGGCCATCTCTGTCATTTCAGCAACATTCATAGACTTTTAATCGTATGTTAGAAAAGACCTTACACAACATGAAACATCATCACCAACTTTCCTCGTTCTATCAATAGTCCCGTCACATGTTTATATGTATGTTGGTAAGCCTTTATTTGCGTTGTCCTCACTCGTTGTAATAGTTTAAAAGTAAATGTCGTTAATGACCTTAGTTGGTATTGTGTAAGGGTTTCTTATGCCTATAGTAACTTATGTTACTTACTTTCTTTTCGTTTGTTGTAACTCAGTTTAATTAATGTAGTTTCAGCTATTAATAAAATAAAAAAAAATAAAAAAAAAATAATCTAAAAAACTTACAAAGAATTGATACAAGTTTTGGTGTGTGAAAATAATATATGAGAAATGGAAGAATCAAGGAAAACTAATACTTTTAAAACAGGTTTATTAGATGATCATATAAAGACCCACCTCATTGATTTATTAGATGGATTTAACCCATATTATAACTGTGGCGGGTCATGGCTTTTAAAAGGCCTCCATTCCTACCTCTCTGAGTTATTTCATTGAAGCGCACTCAACGTTCTCCATTGAAGCGTTCTCCGTTGAATCTAATTCTTGTATCCCCCATTGAAGCAGCCTCTAAGGTAAGTTGTTTGTTGTTGTTATCATCATATCAATTTCACAATCTAGGGTTTATGTTTTATCTAATCTAATTTAGTTATCAGTGCTTTAAGTTTAGGGTTCGTAAATCTCAACTATTGGTTCTAAATTCTTAGATTATGAAACATCATAACCAAAATTATGAGCCTAATTTGATTATTGAAGCCTAAAATTATGAGATAATTGAATATGAAATTAGATCCTGGTTCTTCTTAGATTATCAATTTTGTAGCTACTACATTGCTATGTACAATTTACGATGATTTCGTAAAAGCTGAGAAGAATTTAAATGTGATTAGTGGGGCATAATATGGTAATTGATCCAAATTTGGTTGCTAATTTGTTGCAGAATGTTGTTTGTAACTCTTTATTGTAGTATGGAACTGTAAAAATGGAGCTTTTCTCTCCCTTGGACCTTTATTGTAGTATGTAACTGAAAAATGGACCTTTTCTCCCTTAGCCTAGGGTGGTTGCCCCTCCTGCCCTGGCTCGGGGATGGCCATCGGAATGTTTGGGTTTCGGAAACAATTGGGAATTCCCAAGCTTCCTAGCTTTTGATATATTGGTTACTACTCGTATTAGTTTTAGGCTTTTAGCAGCGTTGGATGTTTTTATGTGAATTTTTATGTTTTGTTCAGCAGGGAGCATAACGTATTGAAAATGTTACAAAGTCTTCCACACCAGGCTGTACCATCGCCGGCTAGGCTTGGCCTGTCGAACCCGAATTCACCGGCTCTTCAGAGTCCCGGTGCAACCAAGTCCTCTTCGCAACCCACCCAGTCTAACCAATCCCATCAGCAGGTTGCATTACCAACTCCAAAAACTACCTCATCCACTCTTCTGTCTCTTCTTCCTCCTCTTCAAAGGGCCCAAGCACTTCTGGTGCAAATGGCAGCCTTAGCTGCCAAGCTCTTTGAGGTATCACCTAACCGTTCTGTTTGGGTTAACTCCTTTCGTAGCTCTCTTCCAACTTTTCTCCCTTCTCAAACCCATTCTACAAGCACTCCCCCACTCGACTCTCCTACATCTACTACCAAAGAAATTATTGCCCTTTTCGCATCACTTCAAACTCAGTTATTTGAAGCTGTTGCAGAGCTACAAGAAATCCTTGATCTTCAAGATGCTAAACAAAAGTTAAACCAGGAAATCGAGGCCAAAGATTCTGCAATTCTTTCATTTGCTAAGAAGCTTAAAGAAGCAGAGCGAGTTCTTGACATTCTGGTTGATGATTATGCTGATTATCGCCGTCCAAAAAGATTAAAATCAGAAGACTCAGATAGTTCTTCCAGCAATACTACTGTTGCTTCTCAGTTAAAGTTGTCAGATGTCATATCATATGCTCACAAAATCAGCTATACGACCTTTGCACCACCTGAGTTTGGTGCAGGGGGGGCACTTCGTGGGGCTCTCCCACCGGCCCCGCAGGAGGACCAAATGCGAGCCTCACAGCTGTATGCCTTTGTTGATCTCGATGTAGGGTTACCTAAAACAGTGGAGGACGAGAAAAAGATCGAACCCCTCATCGAGGCCCCTGCTTTACCACCTCCTGACCCCATGGCTGCAATTAAGGGCCTCATGCCTCCAAATATTACAGTTCCAGCCGGCTGGAAACCTGGTATGCCTGTGGAACTTCCTATAGATATACCATTACCTCCAGCTGGATGGAAGCCTGGAGATCCGATCAATTTGCCCCCATTGGAATCTCTTCCTATGGCTGCTAGAGCTGGTGAGCTGCCACCACAGCCTGCTGCTCCACCTGTGTTTCCGAGGGCACCTGAACCAATACAAGTGCCGCATATTCGGATTGATATTTTGGATCAAGATGATGATAGTGATGAGTATACCAGTGATGAGGGAAGCTCAGATGATGAAGATTAAGAAGGTAGTGGGAATATATATTGCTGTGTTTGGCACTTTAAAGGCGTGGGAATAGATGGTTGATTGATATTTGGTAATTGGATTGAGGAGGCACGTATTCCTATCATTTCAGGAACTGTAGAGTACAGGGCTAGTATGGTAAGTGAGGCTGAGGTGGTTTCCGGATTTTTTAGGTTTTGAAGGAACTTCAAAGCCAACTGAGGAGAGGTTCACTAAGACTGAGGCAGCCTAGTCCACTTCCTGGTTGTGTCAAATTAGTCCGTGCTGCTGCCTACTAGTTGCCAGTGTCCAAGTGGTTGGGGTGACATGGATTCTTGCAATGCTTGTTCGTTTTTATGTACACTAGTTGATTCATTAGGAGATAAATTTGCATCAGTTTCTTAGATTTATTAGATTGTATTTAGATAATAGTGTTTTGCTATAAATGGGAAACATCATTTGTTTTTTAAAAAATGTTAGTTTCCTATTTTGTGTAACTCGATGTAGTGTGTTTAGAGTATTATTGTTTACTTGGAGGAGTAAAATTCTAGCCCCCATATGAATAGTGCTTAGTGTCATTAATTGTATAACACAACTTTAGGGAGAGTTTACAAACACTCTTAGGATACAAGATGTCCGGAGGTGTTGCAAGTATTTTTTTTTTTTATTTTTTTTTCGGGTGGGATCATTGTAAGAATGTATGTACTGTGGTGTTGAATTAATCTCTTTGAAATTCTTTCAAAATCCTAAAGATATGATGAAGATGTAGAGCTGAAGCCTTCAAGCCTCACTTTCTCTATGCTCTATGAGCAACACCTTTTGACAACATTATGATATGCTCTTACTGCCTTAGAACAGTAGGAAATCAAGGAGAATTGGACAAAATTATAAAAGACGAGGTTTATTTCTCACTATCATTGAGTGCAGCATTTTACACTAGTAGCCGAGAATGCAGCTATACTATAATCAAGAGTATTAGCAGCAGCATGTTAAGATCTAAATTCTGAAGTTAGCCCTCAAATGTACGAAAAAGTACAACCATACTAGGCAATGTGTCAATGACTAAAGCTGAAGAGATGTCAAGAGTTTGGCTAAGGCTAAAGAATTGTTTCGTCCCAGCCTAAGATGCAAATGCTTCGTGTTCGTTCCTTTCATAGCTCTTCTTCTCTGTTGCATTGTGGCAACGACATATGAGCCATGTGTTGAAATATTGGCAAAAGAATTACCCGATTGAGTATACATTATTCAAATGGTTGGCTTAATGTTTGGCTTACTATATAGTGTATATCCAATTGAATTCACTGTGTTACTGAATGCTGAAAGAAATTAAAAACCAATAGAGGGAAAAATACGGAGTATTAGATTAGAAACTTAACATTGCTATCATTAGCTGAAGCAAAATTCAGTAAAATCTGCAAGCTGATTCTACTATATCTATCTAAGAATTGATCCCCTCAACTGTGTCAATATCTGAGAAAATGTTTGTTACATCGGCAAAATTACAGAAGAATACTGGGGGGGAAAGAATAGACATTGAATCTTCCGAGTAGCAACCTTTGAAGAATAATACTCTTGTTCCAGGCAGCTAACATATCAGCTAGAATCAGGTCTTTGTATGGCATGGACATTTACAACGGGAAAAGCTATGTATGGGGACAAAAAGATGGTCGAAAGGCATCAATCAAAGCAAAACTCTGGTTGTTGTATTGCTTATACAGAAGCTGTGTAGTTGGAGAAGATTTGTATCAAAATGTCCAGAGTTTCCGGGTAAAATTTCCTAGCGAACAAATAACAAGGGCGTTTCACTCCATTCCATACACAAGGCTTCACAATCACTTGCTTCTGCAAATATTGAATGACAGAAATCACTCAATAAAAGAAATAAGTCGTCTAAAAGACTTATACGAAAAGGAAAAAAAAAAAAAAAAAAAAAATTTACCTTTGCTTCACTAGTTTCATGCACAGTTTCATCAATAGACTGCAATATCAATAACAAAGAGTTCAGAAAGCAAAAGCATGATAGATTGTTAGTATTCTACAATTTGATTAACTGATATACGCAAGTCATACAACTCCAATAAAGAACAGTTAACACACTGAGAGTACTAGTCATGCCTAGACACCTAGTAGATCAGAAACACACAAAAATCAGCGAGATTGTTTCCCTTGTTCTTGTTTTTAGGAAATTTTGACTTTTACCACCTCCAAAAAACCACTTATTGGCTTTTACCACCTACATAAAAAAAAAGTTCTATTTTACCACTAACAAAATTTCCAAAAATTGGATTTCACCAACTAACGGATTCTGTCCATAAATCCGTTAGTAGGGCTCACCTTTTTGACGTTTCCTCTTCATCTCCCCCAATCTTCCATGTCAACCAGCCGGCAACGAAATCCACTCACCTCAGTTGGTCGGAATTTCGGGTGCGGCAAGGGAGGGTTCGAACTTTGGTGTTGGCTAAGGAGGGGGTCGGAATTAGGTGGTGGCTAGGTTTTTAGGAGTGGTCGGAATTCGGTAGGAGGGGGCTTTATGGGTGGTCGGAATTCAGTGGCTAGGGTTTTGAGGTCGGAAATTGGTGGAAAGGGGGTCGGAATCCGTGGTTGTGGCTGGTGCGTTGTGCGGTGCGGTGGCTGGCGAGTTGGTGATGGGGCTGGTAGCTGGCCCGACGGTGGCTGGGAGCCGATTGGTGGCTGGGAGCCGATTGGTGGCTGGATTTTTATTTTATTTTATTAATTTTTTAAATTTTTTTGTTTTTTTATTATTTTTTATTTTTATTTTTTTTAAATTTTATCCAATAATACGGTGACACGTGTACATGGTAGGTCCACTAATGGATTTACGGACGAAATCCGTTAGTTGGAAGTGATTGGTGGTAAAAGCCAACTTTCATTTTTTTATGTGGTGGTAAAATAAAACTTATTTTTAATGTAGGTAATTTAAGCCAATAAGTAGTTTTTTTTTAGGTGGTAAAAGTCAAAAATTTCCTTGTTTTTATTCAAGAATCACTCTAGGGTTCTTGGAATATAAGAAATGTTAAGGTGTATTATAATCAAGGTATACTAAGATATGGGATGTTGTCATTCAATTTGTCTCTATATACTTAAAAAACATTGAAAAACTGCTTTATCTATGTTGACCTAAATATGACAAGACATTTTAACGTTCGCATACACAGAAATTCTTTCAACACCTAACATGGCCATTCAACAAATACTTCGGTATTTTCAATTCATCACAGGAGAGCTAGTTTCCAATGAAGTTCTAATACAGGTCATCTTGTTCTTGAACTAGAAAATCAAACCTCAAGGTTTTAACAAATAATACCCAAATCTCCTTCCGTTGCTCTAAAGTATATATTCCAAATGCATATATATATCTCTCTCCAAGAATTATTCTTTCGGAGCAGCATACATCCTCCGTTCTTTTGACCCGCTTTGACTTTTACACTATTCACCACCCCTCCTTTAACCATCTTTTGTGAATAATATGTAACGAAAAACATATTCATGTGGGATCTTTTTGAATTCGTCTCAATAAGTACTATCATAATATATAACTTTTAAAATTTTTACTTGTGGAGAATAAAAGTTATTGATCGTTAAAGCTTTGCATTGACAAACGTGATAAAAGAAACAGGTCAAGTAAAAAAGAACAGAGGAAGTATAAAATAATTGATTGATTAAGTTTTAAAAGTAGAAATAATCTTGCAATTAATAATAAAAATGAAATACAAACATTTCATTTTAGGAGAAATTGACCAAACAAAAACTAAGGAGTATTTCTTTTGGCAGGTCAACGGGGCATACAAATAAAGTCAGTGGGAAACATCAACATGAAAAAACTTCCATGTATGCCATGTTCGGTTGCAATATAACAAGTATATGTTCTTCAAACTTATTTTTTTCTAAGATAATTCCAATTTGTTAAGGGGATTATACGTGAAAAGGTGAACCTAATAGCATAAACAAGATAGAATCATACCGTGATTTTCTGCAAAAGTTCATAGCTGACATCCTGTGCTCTATAGGATTTTGGATGCCACTTATGTTCAGACCAATCAACATGAGTTACTGACCAATTTGCCATCCCCCCTGGATCAACAATCTATGCATTGCCAAAAAACAGACTAAGTTGGGACTGAAATGGATGATACATAGTGGTTTTGAAAGAGCATTCTTAGGGACACTCACATTGAAGAAAGTCGGCAAGTAATGTTCGTCGCAATAGCAATTGCGTCCCTCAAAGCCAGGCTGTTAAGAGAAAAGATCAATCAACATTTTGCTTCGACCTAGATAAAAGACTCATATATATTTATCTAAATGTTATGCACTTATGCATGTTACTCATGCCATGTTCTATAGCAAAAGAGAGGAGCTCACCCTGCAGTAATTTCTAAACTTCGAATAGTAAAGGGTATCAGAAATCACAATCATCGCATGCTGCCGTTTCAAGTGAAACCACTGCATAAACAAATCATCAATAATTAGTACATAGTAGATACCATGATATGAAACTTGGCATACATTAAATTGCATAATGGAAATCGGTATTGACAGAAACACCAGATAGCGAATAAATTTCAAACCAGTTGTTACAAGTTAACGTGAAACTCAGAACATGAGGCTACTTATAAATTTATAATTTCCAACAAGCCTGTAATTATTGTATAATTATTAAGTAGAATCTATGATAGAGTTACAAAACTATACAAGTAGGTAGGCCTATATCAATTGTCATAAGTTTACATGAAATTTGAAACTCGAGGCTACCTATGCTTCAGAACAAGCCTATATGCGCTGTTTAGCACAGATTTAATATTCAAATGTTCACTTTAACCATAAGTCAAATGTTCACTGAACAGATGGCATCAAATTGGATTAGAAAGAGAGTGTTGTTAAGATGCATACTTACAAGTTAAGGATAAAAAGCAACAAGCTTATACATATTTTTGCTACAATTATTACAAGAAAAGAAATTCTAGACAGAAAATATTTATGTAGATATTGTTTGAAAAAGCTGTAAAGTAAAATACTCCCCCACCCCCCTCTCCTTTTAACCCCCAGTTCGACCTTTTGCACTATGTATATAATCCACTTTGACCTGTTAGCGATTCATACATATGTAGTCATGTGGGTACTCCGTACTTGTTGGAATCGTCTCAATGTATGGTTTCTGAATATCAATTTTTTATAATCAAAGATATTAATGGTCAAAGTTCTGCATTGGCAAACTGGGCACTTGAAATAATAAAACAGGGAGGGGTAGTAAAACACAGCCATAAGTCTGTTATGTGCTTGGCATATACAAGTACAAATAAAAACTACTGTGGCAGTAAGCTTGCAAAGAATATGATTATCAAAATGACGAGATAGAAGAAATTTAGGCACCAAAGTGCATGAATACTTTACCATATCAGACAGAATCTAAAAGTGGCTAGAGAGTGTGAATGGCTTCTAAAATTGCTAAAAACTACAGAAAAATAGGCAACTAAAGCATATATAGTACTTGCCAAAAAAAAAAAAAAAAAAAAAAAAAATCAAAATAAGATTCAATATTCAGAGTAGTGAACTGTCTGCAACTTCCAAAACAGAAGATTTAATGTTAAACCTGCCAATTTCTGTGAGTGCCAGAGTTCTAGGCAGCAGTGCCATAGACCAAGAAAGTTTGACCTTTTCAACATTATTAAGTAGATTTTATAATAGTATAACCCTATAATAGTAGATTTTCAGCACTTTTCAGGAATGGAATGTGAATTCTCACCTGTGCACCCTTACG